ATAAATTTTCTTTTTTTTTTTTTTTTTTTTTTTTAATTCTGAAATATAATATAGTTACATACATACCGTCCCAGCCATTCTTTGAGGAGTAAACAACAGTCAATGGATGAGAAGTGAAGCTAACCAGATCAACCCCATATTTTTTGCTATTTATTGTCTTCAGACATCTGAAAGCATTGAGTGAGCTCTTTTAGCACATATAACAAAACAAAAAATATGAAAAGTTGTTAAAATTCTATAATTAATCGAGACAAAATATAACTGAGCCACTGTTGGCCATTTTTGACACAGAAAAATATCATCTTGATGCAGCAGCAATTATTTAAAAGAAAAAAGGATGAGAAGTCCACTTTTATGTATGTGTAAGTGAAAAAGAAGCCACCTTTTTATTTCCGTGTTGAATATTTAGTAACAGAATAGTCATTTCCAAATACAAGTCCTTCCATTTCCCTTAGCACATTATTGCTTTGGCATGAACAGAAGCTCTTCTAGATACATGACTAACCATACTATAAAAATTATATAGTCCAATTTTTGAAATAAAAGACGGGAAGAGTCTAAATGGCTATCCTAGGTTACTCAATTCTGGACTACAGCTGGATCTCAGACACACTCTCTTTGGATACATAAGAATTTAAATAACCGTTAGCTCCATTAACTCAGAATAGAAAAGAGTGATTGCAGGAATAGCCCAGGGATTTCTGGCCACAATAAAATTTAGTTTTGATTGATCTTTTACTTATGGACGCAAGGTGTACGACCTTTTTTTAGCTTTTTTAGGTGAACAAAATTTAGAAGAGGAAAGAAAAAAGAATTGAGTTCAATTAATATGAACTCAGTGAGGATTTTTGAAGTAAATATTTTAATTTGGTGCAAGAATATATAACGCCTACAGAAAGATGATTTTAAGTCGAGTACCATAGCCCCAAAAAATAGTAGACCATATACAAATCCTCAACAAAACAAATTCCAAGGTGTAAAAATTGCAAAAATTCAAAAATTTGGAAAATTTGGACAGTCATGGACTGACAGTTTATAATTTAACTAATGATTTATAGCTTCAAATTTGAGAGAACTCGAACTCGAAAGTTATTGGAAAAAGTTAAAGAAATCACCTAAATTGAAGAACTGTCCACAAATGAACAAATGAATATACATTTTTTTTAGCTTTTACTTTGATAGTTAAGCTCTCATGATACAAAACTTTTCTTAAGTCTGAAAAATATTAAAAATTGACAAGTATCAGCAACATAATTTAAGTTAGGTAAAAAAAGATTTCCAATAAATTTGAGCTTTACACGAAAGTCAAAAAGAAGATGATTACGTTGCATTGGCTACGTCGTACAGGCGAATTGATTCATCGTCACCAGCAGTTACCAAATAATTTGATGACTTATGGAAATCCATCAAACTAATTCTACCATTCTGGAGAAGGAAATAATGTCAGTATATGATAACGGCTGATAAATTCACACAGTATATCCTCCATGCAAACACGTTAGTAGCTTGTCCTAAGATTCACACGGTTTATCCTCCATGAAAAGCAACACAGTAGTAGCTTGACCCTTTGGACCAATTGTATATAATATCAAGAGACAAGTGACAATAACCACAACATAAGAGACATCAAAAGCAATCAGCTTGTTTGGTTCAGATTTCAATCTGATTGTAATCTAAGCCAAAGTCAAACAATTAATATTAAACACATCTTTCATGGGTTCCACAACTTTTCAACCACACATTTTAAAAACTTCTATCACAATCTATTAAAAAATCTAGTTTTAATCCCTACCAAAGACCCTTTATGGCCCATTTACCCTGAGAACCCAACTATCATAGTAAGTAACACAATTCACACACATAATATCACCTCTTAAAATTTGCAGGAAATTGAAAATTTTCAATTAAGACAGTATCTATAATGTTTCACACACGGTCAATGGCAAAATAATTCTACAATTTGTAGCATAAAAGAACACTGTAGTCCCATTTGTTTCAGCAGAAAGGACTCATGCATATCTTCTAATTTGCATTGCAATCCTTGCAAATAGCAGATTTGATGCTTTATGTATACCATCATACTCCAAATAGAAATGAGGAGTAATTCGGAACAAAATTATTGTTGTTTATTTAGTATATATTAAATTCCTAATATACATTTGAAAAGTCAACCGCAACTCAACTTTTGGCAAGAAGTCGAATGATTGCCCATGAAAATTTTGGGCTTTGCCTTTAAGAGATTGGACACCTTAATTACCACAAAATGTACAACGGTTGTGAAGTAACAATAATAAATGTGATATCAAGTATCCACAGATCTGCATCAAGTATACACAATGTATGAACAAACTTTCAATTAGTATATAATATACCTAAAACCATAAAAGATATTTCTCTGGGTATTTGAATAGTTGAACACTAAATATATTGATTCCAGGAAAAAAGCAGCATTTCTTCCAAATTTTTAGATTTCTGGAGATTATAAACTAAAGATTACTTATTATTAAGAGCACCAACACTATGCTTAAACATATACAGTGGTTCTAGAACGTTGACTGGGTATTATCCTCGGTCAGCACAGTGAATGTTAAGTTAGAATTTAAAATACTAGATAGCCAGACGGCAATCACCTATTGATTTTCTAATCTCGTCAGTTTTTACATTACCCTGGTTTCTCTTATGATCCCTTTCTTAATCTTATCGAATCGGAAGCTTTCCCGTGCTCTGATTATTTATATGCATACTGTATACCAAGTTAATAGAAGAATAAAGTGTACACTACAAATGCATTTTTTTTTCCTACAATCTAAAAAAAATGCATCGTTTACTGAAAGCAGAGCCGTCCTAACTAAATTGACAAGGGTAGATCAAATGATGATAACAATATAAAACCATAGTCTCCATAATGTGAAATTAAACTGAAAGTACTGCAAGCCTCAAACCTCATGAACAACTGATTACTCCTCCTATGCTAAAAAGTTAAAAGATCAACTGAACAATTAACACTATTTTGCAGAGAACGAGCTGAATATAACAAAATAAATGGAAAATCACAGTCAATTTCCCCATATTTAATTTCATTATCCAATAAAACTAACCATTGAACAAGAAAGGAGTACAAACATAATCTCGAAAGGTCATCCCGACTTCCATGCTCTGAAGGATTTCATCAGTAAGTTCCAATGACACCTTCTCCTCTCTCTCCGATTGTCCTCCTTTTCGGTTTGGAAAAAATACTAATTGGTATAAACAAAATAAAGCATAAAACAGAAACATAATAAAATCTAATCAAAAAACAACTGAAAATTTGATGAGCATACGTAGTACCTGCCATTTGTAATTTTTCTCGGATATCCTTTTCAAAGCGCCAAAAAATTAAACCCAAAGAAAATTTATTTTAAAGTAAAAATGGATCCTGAACATTGTATTTTGGCAGTCCAATCCCTAACTTCTGATTATATCTATGAAAAGTAATTTTTTTGAAGAGGGTAACGTTAATTGTTCCAACGTTCATAGGTCCGTCACTGAAGTTCATATTTTTCATTCTGAAGTTTAAAATGTGGGACTTTGGTTACTAAACTTAGATAAATATCTTCGATTGCTCAATGAGCTTAAATTCATGTATTAAATTGCTCGCTAAAGTTTAAAATATTGAGTTTTGACCATTAAAATTTGGAATATATCGTACGTTACTCATTAGCAAAACTGTTGAATTTTGAAAAATATCGAGTTCACAGTGAGTAATGTATAGCATTTTTCATAGTTTAATGAGTGATGTATAATATTTTTCAAGATTCAATGAGAAATGTACAATATTTTTCAAAGTTCAGTGGTTAAAACTCGATATTTTAAATTTCAATGAGAAATTGAAGATATGGACTTAAATTTATTGGCCAAAACTCGATATTTTTCAAAGTTCAATGGCCAAAACTCGATATTTTAAACTTCAATGAACAGTTGAAAACATGGACCTAAGTTCAGTGATCAAAATTCGACATTTTAAATTTTAGTGGCCAATTAAAGATATGGATCTAAGTTCAATGACCATTGGAACAATTAACTCAAGAAGGTAAGGTAAATAAAAAAAATAATAATAATAATAATAATAATAATAATAATAATAAAAGTTATAGATTGACATTCTAAATTATTTTATTAGGATAATGTCTAATTGAAAATGAATTTTAAAAAATAGATGGCAAACATGGTACTAAAATTTAACAACTTCTAAGAATGGCAAAAACAGACATCCTTTTTCCATTTTTGCTATAAATATCAATGAAATGAAGAAGCTAAACTGCTAAATAATCATTATTCTTCAATAACTTAGGGATTGTTTGAGTCCCTTTTTTGGCTCGCATTTTGGAATAGTCGATTAATGGAGAATGTGGTTAAAAAATTAAGGAAAAATTTTGGGTTCGTTTATAATATTATTTTATTAATATGTTATTGAAAAGAAATGAGAGAGAAATATATTTTGAAAATAATTGAAATTAAACAAGGCTTAAATTTTTTTTCAATAGATCAGAAATTCATTCATAAATCAATTTTAGGATGGTCCTACCCACCTAATCAAATATGCTATAAAAGTTCTCATTTAGCCCTGTTCGAATGTCATTATTTGGTCAAAATAATGTTTTAAATAGTGATTTTTAGGAGAATACGTGATTATAAAGTGGAGAAAAAATTTCGATTTATGTACAAAATATTTTATTGTATGGATGTGTGATTGAAAATGAATATGTAGGAAAATGACTTTTCAAATAATGATTATCAAACAGAAGCTTAATGTCTCATTTTCTTCAAGTAGAACTATTTTAGGCTTTGGATTTTTTTGTAAGAATATGCTAGTTGTATATAATGTGATGTCTATAATGATGTCCACCCCCTCATATGGAGGGGGATCCATTTCGAATAAATTATATTTTTTCGAAGTGGGTCACCCTCCATATGAGAGGATGGACACCGAAATGTACGCATAATATCACTCTTTTTCTTATTTGTGCGTAGAAGTAGAATTGATATCGTCGTCCCCAATCCATGGTCGATCAATGTTATAATTATTCGAAGTGGATCCCCCCCCACCTCCCATATGAGGGGATGGACACCCTAATATACTTGTAATATCACTCTTTTTCTGTTCCTGAGGCATAACCCAGTAGTGCATAGAATAGGAGTGAGATAGTCTCAATCTCACCAGTGTACAGACAAGCTCTTGTTCCCTAACCTGTTGGGGCACATCTCGCGATTTACCTCCCTCACGATGCTCCATGGGCGGCGCCGTGAAAGCCCTTAAGGTTGGGATTCAACCTTCAATATCACTCTTTTTCTTATTTGTGTGTAAAAGTAGAATTGATATCGCCATCCACAATCTATGATCGATCAATGTTATAATTTAGAGAGATGAGATCACGCTGCAACCTAGCGTAGGGGAAGACGCTTAATTACTAGCGGCAACAAGCACCTTTAACGTTTAGTCACGAAAGCATAAGCATGAAATAGAGATTTTTTTTCTTTCTTCCTTGGACGTTAACCGGTTTTTTAATTTCTACTAAAGCTTGTCATCAGAGGAAAGGTTCCAACACATGTTGCCTTCATATCTGCTGTTGATAAAGGAAATATTAGAACAATGACCAATAGAAGCATACCAGCTGCTCCCTATTCTACTATCAGCTTTTGCTTCTTCTTGTATAAGAGTTTTTTGAGAAAATTACTTTAGCTAGTGTCTAAAGACTAAATTCTAAAAGGATTTTCATTTTCAAACGAGCTTTTAAAAGAAGCTACATTCACACCCTTCTAAATAGATGAAGCATTCTTTATCAAATTAATCTTAACGGTCCAAAAGCAATTTTAAAATCTCAAAAACTCCTTTCGGCCTCTCAAAAGCATTACCAAACTTGCAATTAGTCTTTGATATGTGGGTTCAGCAGAAGTGATTTTATAGCTGGTATGGCTTTATTTTGCAGCCAGCGGCACCTACCCTTAACACTTATGCTGGAGCCCTATACAAAGTGTTTTTTTGCCTCTTCCGATCATGCAAGGAAATGCTTGAAGCTTGTTTTGATTATTTGAGCCTTGTGGGCATATTTTGAATGTGTTGATGCACGTTGTATAAATACGAATAGAAGAGTGAGTGAGTCTAAACATGTAAGATTCTCCAGCAATGTTGTGTATTTATCTAGTATGTCTTCAGTAAAATTACGTTGCTCTTTGCATCTTTATACTTTATTGGGATGTCGTATACTTGCCCGACTTGCAATGTAAATATGTTATTATTTGTATCTTCCACGTTCATCTTCACACATGTTAGAATACACTCGTGTCTATATTTACGTCAGAAACAAAGTGATTAGTTTTATGATCTGATCCAACTGCTACCGGGTTGCTTCATCACCCCATATCTCCTCATCAATTCCCTCACAGCGGCCGACTCTTCCCATTTCTCTGCGTTAGCATAAAGATTTGACAAGAGAACATAAACTGCTGGCTCATTATGTTCAGTATTTAAAAGAAATCTTGCAGCAATACTTCCCAATTCTAGATTACCATGAGCAACACAAGAACTGAATAACGTCCACCAGACACTGGGATCAATGTTGATATCCTTAATGTTAATTAGTCTCTCCGATATATCCAAAAATCCAGCTCGACTTAACAGGTCAATAACACAAGAAAAATGGTGTACTTCAGGTTCCATACCATAAGTACGGACCATTGAGCTGAATATCCTAATGCCATCAGCAACTAAACCTGAATGGCTGCAAGCTGAAAGAACTGCAGTAAAGGTGGCTTTATCGGGTATGATTCCACCTGAATCTTGCATAGCCTCAAAGCATTCAATGGCTTCCTTGCCTCGTCCATGCTGTGCATGGGCAGATATTATTGAGTTCCAAGATATTATATCTTTTTCAATCATTGTCTGAAAAACTTTCAAGGACCAACTCAAAGCTCCGCACTTAGCATACAGAGTAACGAGTGCATTGCCCAGAGAAATTTGCGAAAAATACCCAGATGTGAGAATGTATCCGTGAAGCTGTTTTCCATGCTGTAGATCCGAAATGCTGGCACAAATGCTCAAAGCATGGCAAAGGGTGTAAACATTCGGCCTCAATCCCGATAGAAGCAATTCATAAAATTGCTGCAAACCGCATACAGGCAATCCGTTTAATTGAAACCCAGAAATTAATGTATTCCAAGAGATCAAATTCCTTTGGGACATTTCATGGAACAGTTTATTGGCTTGGTTCAGTTCCCCGAGATTAGAAAAGGCAGAAAGCAATGCATTTGAAACTTCAATTTTCAAGTTAAGTGCTTTTTTTATTACGCTAGCTTGAATCATCTCAACAACCACTAGCAGCTTGGAGCTCGCTAATAAGCTTCCAATTGTAAACTCATCGGGTTCAATGTCGTCCCTTTGCATCTGAAGGTACGCTAGGATTGCATCTTCACTCAAACTCTCTTGAGCATAGCTTGTTATAATTGCATTCCATGACACAATATCCTTCTCTTTTATTCTCATGAAAACCATGCGAGCTGCATTCAAGTCCCCACAGCTAGAATACATGGTTATTGCTGCATTACTCACAGACGTAAAGTCTTCAAAACCCATCTTAATAGCTTGGCCATGTACTTGAGTAGCAACTCTAGACAACAAACACACACTTATGACACTCACAAAAGTCAATTCTGTTGGTCTCCAACCAGAATTTTGCATATCTTTGAAAATTAACAAGACGTCGTCACCTCTTTCCATGCTTGATAGACCAGCCATCATTGCATTGTAAGTTATTTCATCTCCCAGTCCACCTCTCGTTTCCTCAAATACTCCATATGCATCTGTAATACTTCTGCAGTTAAAATACATAGTAAGTAAAGCATTAATCACTGAAGATCTTACTAAAAACCCAGTCTTCACAATCAATGAATGCACTTGCCTTCCAGAATCCAACATCTCTAAAGAACACAAACTCAAAACACTAGCAAAAGTATAATTATCATGTTTTACACCCAACACATGCATTTTCTGGAAAAGATTAAATACAACCTCATCAAGTCCATTTTCCGCGAAACCAGTTATTATCGCATTCCAAATTGCAACATTTTCTTGCGGACTTCTATCAAACATCCAAAAAGCGTACTCCGATTCACCAAGCTTCATACAAGCGGATAACAATGTGGTCCACGAATAAATATCCGGTCTTTGTATTTCATCAAAAACCATTTTGACCAACGCTATATCCCATGACTTTGCATAAAGGGAAAGCAGAGTATTTGAGACATGAGGGAATTCATTGAAGCCGGACTTGATGGCGTGGCCATGGATTTGGGAACCAACATATACATCACGAAGGTTGCTGCAGGCAGCGAGGGCAGTCGATAAGGTATAATGGTCAGGTTCCAAGTGGTAGGTAGAATGGATTTGTTGGAAGAGGTGGAGCGCATCCCAGTATTTTTGGGAGTGATTGAGGTCTTTCAGAAGGCAATTGAGCTTAAGCAGTGACTTGGTGAAAGTGCTTCTAATTTGCTGCAATTTCATGCCACAGATGAAGATTTCATCATTAACGAAATAAAATCAAACTCTAATTAAGCAACGAGCGCAGAGCAACCAAATCCGCTTTCTTGGCAATTACACAGCTTTCATTTTAGAGCATAACGTGAAAAGAGAGGGCACCGGAAGATCAGCCTTGCTTCCATGACCAGCGCAGCGAAGAAAAATTTAAACAGGGAAGAATTAATAGGAAATCATAAACCCTAACCTTGAAAAATGGCTAAGAAAAGGCTGGGCAAAAAATGGAAAAAGGGAAATATTGGAAAGCTAAAATTCAAAGAAAGTAGACCAAATTAGAATCTGGGCCAAAGCCCAACAACCACATGAAGTGTCAAAAGGACCAACAAATGTTATTGGCCCAAGAATCATCCACGTGATCCAGCAGCAGTAACCCAGTGGGCTCACAACTTGAGTTGTTAAGAATAGAGATGACAATTTATCCCGCTCCAGACTGAATGGGGCAAAAAAACCTGCCCTCGCATGAACCCACCCCATGATTTTTCTTTTTTATATTGTCTTTTCGAGTGTTTCTTTGAATATTGATGTTAATTTGAGTATTATTTGTTTTGAATTTGTATTTTATAATTTAATAGTATAACTCGAAATTTTGAAAATGTGTAAAAATAAAAAAAAAATTTAAATGGGGAAGTAAACATGGGAAAAAACTGCCTCGACCACGCCATGCCACGCCCCTCCCCGCCCCGTTTAAGGCAAGGCGTTGCCGGGCGTGGGGTAGGGCGGAGCGCTCCAAACCCGCCTCGTTGCCATCACTAGTTAGGAAGGAAAAACTCAGCAAAAATAAATGTAAAAGACATATAAGATTGAACTACGTTATTTTGCAAGAGTTAAGATTGAACATATAATTATTTGAATTAATATAACTTTGTAAATATTAAAAAATTTAATTATAATACGAATCCTGGGAACCCAATCGAATAGAACTGAATCCAAACAGTTCCATAATTAAATTTAGACCTGATGGTTTCACTTATTAAATACCCAAAAATTTCGAATCCGATTCGATTCTCATTAGAACTAAATTGAACCGAACTATATCCAACCCTAAAACTTACTAAATACCCAAAATTTTGGGTATATGGTCTAGCCCTAAAACTTACTAAATACCCAAAAACTTACTCACGGTTCTCGTTAGAACTTACTAAATACCCAAATTCGAGTCCGATCGGTTCTCATTTGAACTGAACCAAACTGAACCGTGTCCAACCCTAAACAAGAATTTAACTATAACTCATTTCAAAACTAAGATAAAAGGTTTAAAATTTTAGTTTTGAAATAATTAAATAAACTTAAAATTTTAGTTTTGAAATATTTAAATAAACATATAGTTTATAAATTAAATATAAGATCACAATTTTATACAATTTGGTCACAAATTATCGAATTCATTGCTTACAAATAATTTATCGATCATAATGAAAAATTTTATAGGTCACTAATTATTTCATGATTACAAATATATCAAATTAATATGTAACATATTATTCTTTGATCATAAATCACAAATTTTATAAGTTACAATTTATTTCATGATCACAAAACATCAAATTATGTTAAGGTCAGTAGGTTTGCAAATTATTTATTGATCACAATTTATCTATTTCATTGATCACATATTATTTATTGATCACACATTTACCAATTTATTGATTACAAACAATCAAATCATTTTGTGACCACTACGTCACCCCCAGTGCCTTATCACTGTCGAAACCACCGTCACCAGAACCACCACTAGTATCTCTCGGTAGTAAAACCATAATCTCAAACACTACAATCACCACCACCACTAGCAGCCTACCACTCCATAACCACAACCCCCATAAAAAAATCCCAAATCTGTTGCCGAGCGCTACAGTTGTCTCCGTCGCCATCACTGCCTCATCAACCAGAACCCCACTATAATAACCACATCACGTCCCAGAACAAACCATCACTACCACATCCCGACACCACCGCAACAAACTACCATTTTGAACATCAAAACCACCACTGCCACCAACAAAACCACAGCCACCCGCCGAATCCAACATAACTTCACCACCACTGGATCCAACAAAGCCACCAAACACCACCATCACCATAGCCCCCACCCACCAATTGAAAACATACCCAAAAAGCCACAATAGATCATGACACTATCGATTTCGATCGCGGTGTGCAATGTTGCATAAATTTGAAAGGAACCATATTCATAAAATCCTTTCATAAAATCATAAATTCCATGTTGAAATTAAAGAGACAACAAAAAGTGCGGAAATATACCTTTATCCATGAATCTTACTGCTTTAATTGGGTTTTGATCTTCCAATTGATACGTGATTTTGCTTCCTTTTGGTTTTCTTGATAAGTCTCTGTTGATAGGGATGCAGAGATACCATCAAAAAAATCACGTTCAAATTGGGGACCATAACCACTTTTAAAATAACTGCTATTGGCAGTTATTAACTTTAAGTTATTTCAAATCGACCCCTCATCAATTCAAAATAACACCTTCTGGTCTCTACACTTTAATCCCATAAAATTTAATACCCATTAGTCCAAAATTATATCCAATGGATCACTTTATCGACTATATTTACTTTAAAATAGCACCACACATTCTAATAAATGTACATGTGTGGCCCCCAAAGTTGGAATTTTTTCCAACAATCTCCCACTGGATCAAACATGTTACATTATAAATGTGCATAGACTTATGAGCTCAAAATTGTGCTATAGTTATTAAAGGTATTTCCAAACAATCTCGTCCATTAGTTACATCGATGTAGGATCAAAGCGATTTTCGTCACATTTAGTGTGACTAAATCCATCAATGGTCACGTACACCCATACAACCAAATGACATAGATTAATTATGGGAGTATAGCATAAAAATTACATGTTATGTGATCCGAACATGTCTATTTCCAACTAGTCCAACCTTATTTCTTAAGTGAGATCAGTACTGAACATAATAACAGAGTGGAATGAACTGAATACTTTATTTCTATACAGAAAATATCCAAATACATAAATGTGTTCAAAGAACTAAACATATATAAAGCAATAAGAATACAGACTCCCACTAAAACATGATATCCTCAAAAAGTACAACACCCATATGAGCGATGTGCTCATGAAAGACCTTGGGTGGTAATCCTTTAGTAAGCGGATCTGCAATCATGGAGTTTGTTCCAATGTACTCTATAGAAATCTGTCCACTCTATACTCTTTCCTTCACAACCAGGAATTTAATGTCAATATGTTTTGATTTAGATGAGCTCCTATTGTTGTTAGAATATAGAACTGTTGAGCTGTTGTCACAATACAACTTTAGTGGTCTTTCTATGCCATTCAGAATGCGCAGCCCAGTGACAAAATTTCGCAGCCATATTCCATGATTAGATGCCTCATAGCATGCTACAAACTCTGCTGCCATGGTAGAAGAAGCTATGAGTGTCTGCTTGGTACTCTTCCAGGAAATAGCTCCTCCAACTAGCAAATAAATATAACCTGATGTGGATCTTCTACTATCTTGGCATCCAGCAAAATCAGAATCGGAGTACCCTATGATCTCTAACTGATCTGATCTGCTATATGTGAGCATATAATCCTTTGTTCTCTTTAGATACCTCATAACCCTTTTGGCTGCCTTCCAATGATCAATCCCAGGGTTGCTTAAATATCTGCCTAGCATTCCAACAATAAATGCTAAGTCTGGGCGTGTACATACTTGAGTATACATTAGACTCCCAATAGCTAATGCATAGGGAATCTTCTGCATTTCCTTAGTTTCAAGGTCATTTTGTGGGCACTGTTTGAGACTAAATTTGTCTCCCTTAGCGACATGGGTGTCACCTGGTTTACAGTCTTGCATGCCAAACCTCTTAAGTACTTTATCGATATAGCTCTTTTGTGACAGTCCAAGAATACCTCGAGAACGATCCCGATGTATCTGAATCCCAAATACAAAAGAGGCGTCACCAAGATCTTTCATCTCAAAATTCTTTGATAAAAATCTCTTGATTTCGTACAACATGCCTATATCGTTAGTGGCAAGCAGTATGTCATCAACATACAAAACCAGGAAAATATGCTTACTCCCAATAAACTTGTGATACACACAATCATCAACGACATTTACCTCAAAGCCAAATGAGATAATGACATGATGAAATTTGTGATACCATTGACGGGAAGCTTGCTTGAGCCCATAGATAGATTTCTTTAATTTGCAAACCATTTTCTTCGAGTCTCCTAACACAAAGTTTTCTGGTTGCACCATATAAATTGTCTCATCAATGTCGCCATTGAGAAACGCCGTCTTGACATCCATCTGATGTAACTCAAGGTCAAAGTGCG